GGATCCCCGATCATCCGGTATATTGTGTTTGATCTCTGGATGCTTGTTAAATTTCAGTGCTAATTTACAGCATATATCATTTATGTAATTTGGTAACTCGAAATTGACCTTATCTTGTTAGTATACCCAACGCTTCCGCGACAAAGCGACCTCACAATGAGTCTTCTGATTCGATTACCCCAGTCAAACGACAGAATGGGACTGCTGATGAGTTGGAAAGCGTGGATAGATCATCTCAGAACACTTCACGCACTGGTCCAAGTCGCCCAGCTCCTAGACAGACTCAACCGCAGGTTTGTTGCCACATTTCCCTTTGATATATCTCGAATGAGTTAGATATTTAAAACAACCATTCATTTCATTCAGATGAATCAAACGCGAAGCGGACCGACTAGCAACCGCGGTCAATCGGGTCCCTCATCTCTCCCTAATTCTTCGATGTTTGGAGGCGGTGGCGGGATAAGGCAACAGAGTCCCATTGGTGGATCTTCTTCCGGCTCGCCAAACTCAATGCTTGGCGGGATGCCTGGCCTTTCAGTTCAATCTGTGAGTGGGGGTCCGGGGTCACTGACGGCTGGCGGACCATATGGCTCGAGTGGCGCTCAGTTTCGCATGCCTCTCAGCACTTCCCAAATGCAACAGCCACCTCCACAATCTATGCCTAGCAATACCAAAAATTACGGAGTTTCTATGGCTTCGGGTCCTTCAGGTCCACAGAACCAACAGCAACAACCCTGGAGCCCCATGGGAAATGCTCTTTCTGGCGGCCCTATGATGTCCCCTGGGGCGGGCGCCATGGCAAAGATGTTCGGGGCGGGAGCCAGGTGGGTGGGAGGTCCGGGGGTACCCACCAATCCCGCAGCAGGTGGCATGTTGTTATCCCCTCAACAGTGCAGGTAGGATACATTTGTCCTTTCTTTCTTGAGTTATATCTCATATCCTAATATTTTTTTCATTCTTGTAGAAGCTGTGGGATCGTCAATCAAGGATCAGCTTTCTGTCGTAATTGCCGGAATCCCTTAAGATAGACCGTCTTGCATTTCGCTTTCTCCATTTTATCATGTTTTTTCAGTAACATACACATACCCTGCTCATTGTTTCTTGTGTGGTAAGTAGAATGGGCTCTAAAGAACGCCGTTTTGTTTTAAAAGTCTATTTGGCTTATAAGCTTTAGTTCTTGTGAATCGTCTGGGAAGGCGTTTGTGTGTGTGTGCTAGGTTGTGTTTCCACTAGTGTCAGGCTGTGTTAAAGGCCTCAGTAATAATGGTATTTTCATCATCCATATCTCCAACGAGATTTATATCCTCTAATCTGGCGGACTTTAACGCCACGTATTCTTCAATCATGTCGTTGAACTTTGGCTTAGTAATTCCAAACGCCCAGGCTAGCTTTTCGCCCGCCCAGTCGACGAATTGGAGTGCAGAGTATCCTCCTGCGCAAGTTTGATGTAACACCCATTCCCCCCAAGGCATGGACGCAGTATCGATCTGAAAGAGATGAGCAAATTTTGTTCTTATTCTTAATCTTCTTATGCACACAACAGTGCGCACAATCAATCGGACTCACAGTGGCTATTTGTGTACTTGGTGCGGACTCTTCATCGGTACTGTATTCATCTAGTACACCATCGCTAAAGTGCAGTCTCCTTCTTATCGTCTTCATTTCTGAAACTGAAAACTGGGACTTTATTTCTAGCAACATGCTACAAGTAAAAGTCAACATAAGTGCGCCACTCATGGAGCTGTCGTAGTCAAAAAGAAAAGTCAAAGCTTACTGCAAGTCTGCTTAGTATCTACATCCAATTTCTCGATATCTATTTCGCCTAGCAAATCTAGACTAGTTGATAGGCTTATTGGACGAACAGTTTTGTGCTAATTGTGAGTTTGCGTCCCAAGAACGGGCGATTGGTCTCCTATGGGGCCCATTCTCCATTAGCAGGTAATTGGATCTATCATGACAAGTCGTATAATCAACGGAAATCCTCACAATTAATATCGGTCATTCTTCCCTGTCTCAGCTGCGTGGAAATCCTGTGAGTAGTATCGCGGCCACTTGATTTTCTGGA